CCCACTACCACACATTTGGACTGATTTGTGACCACTGTTTGGGAGGGATGGTTATATTGTGTATCTGGAATGAATTTTAGGTCTCTACGTCCATCCCATGGGGAATGGGAGCAGTAACAAAGGTGTTGCGTTTATATTTTTGTTGAGTGTATGATAAAGGAAATTAACAATTGTTTAAAATCCTACAAGAAATCAGCTGGGTTAGAAATGCCAAATGTCAAGAATTTTACTTCACAGTCTTCTCAATGAAATCGCAAGTGCTAAAAATGTATTTTTACTTGAAGCCTTAAAAATAGCCTAAAATAAAATATGACTCTTTTAGAGTCTGCTTGTTCAAAAATAAGAGCATTCTAAAAAAAAAAATCCCAAATGCTTTACCATGTGCTTCCTTTTCTTTCCAGGATTACAAGATGTCCTGCCAGAGTTTCTGCGTGGGCGTTTTGTGGAGGCAGCCCTCAGCTACGTGGCATGCAACTCGGAGGGCGAGTTGCTCTGTCGCAACAATGACTGCTGGTGCCGGTGCTCTCCTCGCTTCCCAGAATGCAACTGTCCTTTTGCTGACATCAAGGTCATGGAGGAGAACCTGGAAAAGAGCAAAGAGGCGTGGAACAACTTCAACCAAGAGTTCATGGAATCAGGTATGGGTTCATGTTTCTAAGCAAGCTGTTGAGCTGCAGTTGAGCTATAAAGAGGTTGCGCTGAAGAATGCTTTGGTTTCGTTTCTGAACTGCTTTGGAAGAAAAATGCTTCACTTAACATCTGAATGCGTATAAAAGGTTTGTATGGCGATTCAAAAGCCTGCTGATAACTAATGCAAGATGTATTTTGGCGGTAAGTCTGCGGTGTGGTGTTTTGAGTTTGATTCTCAGATGCTATATGTCTTGTCACTGTTGTCGTTGTGATGAAACCTGTAACACTTATGGGAACAACTTTAACATCCTTCGAAAAATATGTTCCACTTGACTTGGATCTTTGAGGTTCAGGTTTTTTTTTCTTCCAGCAGATATGTATGTAACACATTCAACACACAGCTAGTGTGAGCCACTTACAGTCCAGAAGACAATTATCCTTCTATGCATTTAGTAAATCTAAAATAATATTTGAATATTTATAGACCACACCAGTCTGCTTTAGCACACAGTGTTGGAACCACAATCTTACACTGTCCAAAAAAACTAAAACATATTTTTTGTTCATATTTCAGCATAATTAGCATTACACTTGAGAATCAAAAAGACTCACAGTATGTCTATTTAATGCTTGCTTGGAGCTGCAATGAAATAGTTGGATAACCAGCAAGAGTGCAGTGCACTCAGCACTAGCAGCAATTTAATTTCAGAAAGAAGCTTGAAGAAATGTTGTTCAACAAATGAGTTGATACTGAATTGTTCTGCTCTTTAAACCTCTTAGATACAAAACAAATATTCAATGAATTACAAATCCTTAGAGTATTTGTGGTTTTTATGCAGATTCGCTTTCTTTAGTTTTGACATGACTTAGCAACATTTTCCACACAGCTATAATAACACTGAAAATCTTATTTGCTGGCCTTGCATTGAGGTAGGCTGTACAGAAAGGATGAGCTGTGGACAGCTGGACAGGGAGCGTGTTGCACAAGTTTGTTCGGTTCCAGTACCAGATGTAGATGCAGCAGGTGGGGTGGTGATGATTTATTCCTCCAAGCTGGAAGCAGTTTATGCTCAGTAACACTCTGGTTATACAGTGTGTACCTGTGAAGTGTTGCTATGATTATGTTCATAATTAGTCAGTTTGCAAGTTTCTGACAGACCAAAACAATAAGTTGGTACTCGGTTCACAGCTCAGTTAATGCAAACTTCATTAACAGCCTGATATACTCACTAAACACTTAAGTATGTACTTCTTGTTAGTAAGAGTTTGGATCCCCTGTATCTTCTGAATCGCCTTAATTCTTTGTTGTATAGATTCAACAAGGGGGATTTTGGTCAGTTTGGTTCATTGGTCTGAGATCTGGTGACTGTGTGGTCATTTGAGTGGAGCGAACTGACTGAAGTGGCACCATCTGCTCCAAGGTTTAACATGTTGTATGCTCAGAGATGCTCTTCTGATAAGCAGAGATGTTGTTTTCTGGCAACCACTTGATTGTAGAAAGCGGTCATTTGAATGTTTGCCTTTATTTCAGATCAAAGCAGTCTGGCCACTCTACTCTGACCTCTGACATTATCTATCTAAACCTTAAAGTGACTTTGTAGTTTTACTTTTCAGTGACCAAGAATTAGTACCTAACATCATTAGACGAGTGATTTTAATACTGTGGCTGGTCAGGATATAGTAGGAAAGAATGAAAAGTATGTATACAAGTAATGATACTTTTATTGCAAATACAGCAAAGTATAATTAAAAGTAGGCTGTTCTGTGTAACATCTAGAAAACCGCTGTTCTTTGTAAATAATTTAAAAAGTTAGAAAACATTGCTACATTTTTTAATTATTTCAATTTAGATAGTATTGTGTTAGTAATAATTTTAGCAAGCTAAAGTTAACTAGATTTACATTTATTTGCAGCATTAATTGATCCAAGTAGATCAGCAGAATGCAGGCAGAGACATCATTAAAGTTTGAATGCGCTAGCTTACATTATCCACTCAAATCAGTATTTTGCTAGCAGCAATGCAAGCTAAGGCAAGCAGCATTAGCTTACACTAATGCTAATGCTGTAATGTGGATCCTCAAAGACAGAGCAATGTTCCCGAGCCTTAAATCTAAAGCCAGTGCAGAAGTACCTTAAATTTCAAATTGGTGGCAATGACCAGCGGCGGCGGGGACACTCCTCTGTATACTTAAAGAAGGTGTATTTAAGTTTTTGAGCAATTTTTGATTTATGGCCTCAGTAATCACTTTCCTAATGGGTTTATGGTTGCAGTTTGCTCATACCGTATTTTAACTTTTGATTGCATGAGGATACTTTGGAACCACAGACTATAAGCACTGTCATTACTGAGGTTTACACGATTTATATAGAAAATATGCATCTGGGCACAGGTGAGGAAAGTATGTAGTTATTAAAAAAGTTAAATGTTGTCTCAATCTATGTGCAAATGATAGGCACACAATACATTTGATGTTACTTTGTAGAATTTAGTATTTAAGCCGGTGCTGTATAAACATAATGTAGTACAATCATAGTCCAGATTAAAAATTTGATTTACTGCCAATAAAAGTTTTTGAAACTTGAAAATTTTCAAAAACAACAAACAAAAAATAAAAACACAGAAGCTACAGAATACATGAAAAGCTTGTTCGTCACTGCCAAAATTTCTGGCCATAACCATGGTTTCTGACCAATTTACAGGAAAGTGAAGGTTATACTTGAGCATGCTGAGAAACAATGAGAGAGCCTCAATCAGGTTAACAATCTCACTCTTGTTGTTTTCCAGCAAGCCGACCTATTCGTCATAGAAAGCAAGACACAGGTGTGTCATATAATGATGGCAATGATGCAGAATAACTCGGACATCATTTCCTAAACTGGATAAAGCATTGTTTTTTTTCTCCTTTGCTACATCTCAACACATCACCAGCTCACTTCTTAATGACTTGGAATATGTAGGCAGAATTTAATTGGAGACGGGTTTCTGGCAGTTTTTTTGTGAGCATCTTGAGTTTCCTCACAGAGATTAGCAGATTGTGTGTGTGTGTGCTGACATATAGGTTGAAATTGCTCTTTAAGTGACATTATGTTGCTAAACAGCATTTTTGTGCATTCACTTAGGCTCATTTTGACAGCACCTGACTTTGCAAGGTTTCTTTTACTTCCTTTTGCTGCGTGTTAAGTCTTTATAAAGAGGCGCTGACAAGGAGCACAGACAGGAGGAGGATGTGTAATTGCATGGCTTTTCTTGTTCTGCTGACTTTATGGGTTTTGTCAGGAGCTTAACTTTGTGTTGTTTGTCATAGAATATGAGGCCTTTAGTACATCTGCAGCCCTGTGTGTTTGAGTAATGAGCTAAGAAAATATCCGGAAAGGCTCCCCAGTTTGTAACACACCAACAAAGGGCAGACCAAAGCACAGGCAGGCATAGATTGCTCAGCCACAGGCATGACTGCATTCAGGGGATCATCAAAGTTTTATCTAATTTTAGGGAACACTCACAATCCAATTTCACGTTCACACACTACCAGTCACCTAGCATGAGGCGAGTTGAGATGAAAAATGAATGCAGAAAAAAGAGAGGAGGCTAATCTACATGACAAATATTGTTTGACTTTCAGAGCTTTAAGAGCAGGTGTTAGTATTCATTGTCTCTCCCTCTTTCTCTCTTGCTAGTTTTTCAGCAACTTTTCACTCGAACACGAACACACACACACACACACACACACACACACACACACACACACACACACACACACACACAAAGTGGATTCTAGCTTCTGGGGTTGTCTAGGAAGTTGGGCTGAATCTCGTCTGCTGGGACAGGCTGATAAATTTATTGTGGCGAGAGGAAAACAACTGGGAGGTTGGTGTGTGTGACAGATTGCTCATGTGTGTGTCAGAGAGACAGAAGGAGGACATAGAAGAGACTACATCACTTTATGTGCCAAACAAAAGAGGAGAATAATACCCTCGAACCTCAGCCAATTGCAATTTGAAAACCAAAGTCCCAAAGCTAGGTTGATAGCTAGCTACAATCACACACATACACACACACACACACATACATCACAAGAGCTCTCTGCTCTAAGGCTCTTCTCTCTCTCTGATAGATCTTATGCAAGGTTTTGGGAGGCAAGATGTCCCAGGAAGGTGTGAATAAGTTGGAACATCACACCTTTGGTTTCGTGAAATTGGAAAACACTACCAGCTTTAAGGCTTAGCACCAGATCCTCTAATACCTTGACTTCATGGTGTGTTTATGAAATTGAAGTGACATATTTGTAATACAGTGCTGTAATTTATGTGTCCTCTGTCACAGGCTTAAAAGTTGGTACAGAGTAGTTTTGCCTTGATACAATACTGCTTAGTTTTATTTTCTTAGTGTCTGATTGGCCATCTTTTGTGACAGCACATACACTAATAAACAAACATATATAATCATATTTCCACAAACAGTGACCAGAGGCTTTATTTTCCCCAGCCACATAAGATAAAGGCCTTATAAGCCTCTACTTAAAGCTAAAATGTAATTAGTGGTAGGATTTTAATTTCTCCCTGTTTAATCAGTGTAACTGATCATATGTTGGTCCAGGGTTTTTCTTTGATCTACTCTAATTTGCCCTCTTAAACTCGGGACATTATAGTTTCAAATGTAAAGCCCTCCAGTAGTTTAGTGAGGCATCTCCAGACTGGTACACTCAGATGGGAGTAATGATGACAAAGAAAAATAAATCAGAATGAAGGAACGAGATGCCACCACTGTGCCAGTGTGAACACAGCACAGCATGATTACATTGCTGAAATGATTTAATTAGAAGCTGTTTAAGGCATCTTAGCTGGTAACCCTGACCCTAATGAAAACGTTTTGGGTGTGTTTAAGTTAAAATGATTGCTTTCATTGGTCCCTGGTTGCCAAGATTTCTGACAACAACTTAATAAAAACAATAATTCTACATTCTGATTGCCTTGGGTTGGGGCTTCATTTGCATATTGCAGGGTTAGATTT